GAGCTGGATGACAGCTTGTAAGTCACTCTAAAAAATCTAATGTGTGTGTGTGTGTGTGTGTGTATCATCAAGAAGCTCTTTCATCTTTTCTCTGTGGGAAAACACAAATCATATACTTCTTATCGAAATAGGGGAGAACCAGAGCTTAAAGGCAACTGAACTTAAGCAAAACCAAAGTCCAGAAGTTTAGTTCAACATCCTGTAACTCAATGTCCAGTATCTGGGATTCACTCCTGATCTTTTTGGAGCCAGAAGACTTCCACTTCTCTGGCTCTGCCATCTGAAGCACAAACAGCTTGTCTGGTAGGTACAGGCAGGCTCGAGTCTACTGTTATTCTTGTCAGTCCATGGTTATCCTCCAGTCCATGGTTCTGGTATCGCTGATACCCTAGAGTCTGTGCTTCAACTAAACTGCATCATTACCAGCAGCCTCTCCTGGCCTCTTGAGGAAAAACTCCAACTCTGTCATACTGTGCCAAGCCTTAGTTACTCTCCACAAACCCTTCAATCCTGCATCTCTCCTGACTTCAAAACCAGCACCAGGCAAGAAACTCTTATACACTATTTGCCAAGTTTTGTTACTAGTTTGGTGTGTAGCTTTGGCCTCTTGAAAAACCCTGTGTGTTGATCCTGAAGAAATACTTCCCAATTTCACCAAAATGATTCTGATTTCCTACTAACCAGAGCTGAATCTTTAGTCCCACATTACCAGCATCAATTGACCGAATGAAGGCTTCACTTCAGTGGTGCTGACCTCTTTGCCAATCACAGATCTTATTCAAAAGTATCATAAATGGCTCTGATAGAATCTTCTATTCTCCTCAAAACTTCACAAGCCAGCCCTTTTTGGTTTTCATTTATTTCATCTTTCCCAAATTCCTAAACAACAGACCATTGATTTCTGAACACTCCATGACTTTTCTAGTCCAAAGCTTAAACACCGCCATGATCCTTTTAAAAACAATATAGTCAACTCACACCAATGATACATACCACTCTAGGTACCAATTCCTGCCCTAGTTTGATTTCTGTTACAGCAACAAACACCATGACCATAAGCAATTTAACTGAGTAAAGGGTTTCTTTTATTTTATATTTCTAGGTAATAGTTCATCATTGAGGGAAGTTAGGGCAGAAACTGAAGACAGGAACCCAGAGGCAGGAAGCATGAAGGAATGCTGCTTACTGGCTTTCTTCCTAGCTCATATTCAGCAAACTTTGTTATAGTCAGCCTAGGCCTACCTGCCTAGGAATGGTACCACCCAGAGTGACTAGGCCTTCCACATCAATCAAAATGCTCTCTCACGTTTGTGGCCACAGACCAATCTGATCAAGGCAGTTCTCCAGTTGAAGTTCTTTCTTCCCAGGTGACTCAGAATGTGTCAAGTTGACAATAGAAACTAAAAGGCCAGAAATGTCCAGATTAAAAAAAATCATATCAGAATGTGTTTATAAGAATGTCTCAGGAAGAGGATAATTGACTGAATAAAAGAATAGAAAAGACTTGCTCTTCATGCAACTAAAACTGGTATCCTGGAAATGACCATCTTCTGCTACCTTAATAAACTTTTAAAGCAATCAGAATGTCTGAGTAAAGATTATCGTCACCATAAATGTAGGCCTCATCCAATCCACAGAGAGCTTGAACAGAATGCACAATCATAGAAAGGCTATTGGCTCTCTGTTTGGGCAAGAACATTCCCTAGGACATTAGTGTTTCTGGTTTTGAGATTTTGGGCTCAGACTGAAGTACAATAACCACCATTCAAAGACAGCAGATCATGGGATTTCTTGGCCCCCTCTCAAAACTGTATGACTCGGTTCCTATCATCAGTCTGTGGTGTGTGTGTGTGTGTGTGTGTGTGTGTGTGTATACTGTTCTTCTTTGGAAGACCCTGATTAATATTCACATACTGTATTTATTGGTTTGTGTATACTATTTAATGATACTTGAGGACTAGAAAAGATTTGCTTTTCATCCAGTTAGAACTGGTATCCTAGAAATGACCATTGTCTACTAGCTTAATAAATGTTTAAAGCAATCAAGAAAAAATTCAGAGGCAGGGGAACAAATAAGAAGAGACCCAGCATGGAAATAATGTGTGAGGCAGCTCCAACTGGATAGACAGGAGTTATCAATGTTTCTGAAGTCTCAAGTCTTGGATAACTAACAAATAATGTGGCTTTGGAAAGTGGCTTTGCCTGTCTGGATTCCTTTTGTCTTCTCTGTGGCATGGAACATATGCACTGTTGTGGTCATTCTGAACACTAAGAGAGAAGATGCATATAACGTTCTTACCCTAGAACTGACACCTTTGTTGCTGAGCCCCATTTTGGCCCTGGTTTGGGCCTTGTTGACAAACCCAAGCTTGGCTCGAGTTTTGAGAACTATCTCAATTACTCCCTTACCGGGGTGACTCAACAAGACTCCTTTGGCCCTGCCTCTCCCCCACTGTTGCTGATGTAGAGCTTTGCCATTGGCCCTGTCAGTCACTCCACACCCTCCGTCACCCTTCTCCTCCCCCTATGTTATCTCACCCCACCAAAACTCCTCCTCCTTACGCTCTGAGTTTATATAAGCTAGAGGCTGACACATTAAAGTTGTGTTCCTGCTTTGACAAGACTCCTGGCCAAGTATGGTTTTTTTGGGCCATCGACACTCACTATCCTGTTCAGCCCCTGAGAGACCTGATGGGATTGGGATCTGGACAGCTCTGCTATCCTCTCGCCTGGACCTGCCAGCAAGGAGCCAACACTTTGTTTTGCAAGGAGAACCTTGCTGAGACCTGAAGGCTTTAGAGGATAAATATATTTGCATCTGTCTGGAGTTCAAGCACTTTTAGGAAGGAAAACCTTTGACCCTTCTCAACATATCCGAGGAGTCAAAAATTCATCTAAAGTGGACTGATGTTGATCCTTTCCAAGTTTTCAGGGTCAGCAATACATCCCTGAAATTAAATTATTTTGTGGGTAGAATGATCTGAGTCCAGTGGACTGGTTGCCAAGAGTGTTTGAAAGTTGATAGATACACTAGAACTTGTCCAGAGACACTCACTGAGTTAAAGTCTTTATCAAAGATGGTGGACATGAATCTACACAGATCAGAATGAGACCATTACCCTAACCCTGTAGTGATGATTTGCCTAAGCTGAAGAGAGCATTGTGAATGGGAAACAATGCCTGCTACATTTCTCCCCACTCCTCTATTTCTTTGCATTTTGATTTGGACAGGAATAAGCAGTTATTATGAGCGCTTATGAACTTGTCAGCTCACTTTTGAGAAAATCATTCAAGCCATAGCTGAACTCTCCCACCCAACCCCTACCCCAGAATGGACGGGTCTCCAGTGGTTAAAGTTCTAGCCTCAACTGATGTAACTATGGCAAATAACATTTTTTTTTTTTGCAAATGGCTAAGAGATTCTATCCCCAGTCTGAAAGTTCTCAGATAACAGGGAGCAGGTCTGGGCCTCAAGGAAGAGGAGCAACTCTACCTACTTCATACTTTTTAACTTAAAAGAGGGAAGCTCAGTTTAGTGACAGACAGGGCTTTCTCAGAAAGCATGGCCATGGGAAGGCTGTGTGATAGTTTGCATCTTGACAAGATTGGTTGCAGAAGACAGCTAGTGTACAACTTGTCCTATAAAACTAGAGAGAGTCTACAGTCAAAATATCCTCCCATTGATTAAATAACTTGGCATGTCTTTGGAGATGTCACCATTCAGCTGCTGTGATTTGTAAGCAAGTTCTCAACTGTGCTGTGCTATCAGGGTATGTATTTGTGTTCTCACTCACTTAGACCTAAGGGATGAGTGTGAAACTGTTTTTAGATGTACAATAGATGACACAGGACCCGAAGGAATAAGTTAAAGTCTATTAAATTGCATTTAAAAATTTAAGAAATGATTTCATGTAATTTGAAATTCTGATTAAAAACCACCTTTATTCCTATGATATAATGTGTGTGTCAATATTTATAAAATTTGACCAATTAAAAAAGTTACACATAGATCAACTTGAACTCTATTTGTTCACTTTTTCTAGACTGCTCTCTTGTTCTTCAGCTTTGGGCCATCATCCCCTTCTGTGTTTTTAGAACTTAACTACATGCTGATGCATCAATAAACACTATTGCTCTTTATTTATTTCTCTCTCTCTCTCTCTCTCTGTGTATGTGTGTGTATGCATGTATGTGTTCCTGTGTAAATTTACACATGTGTGTACAGGTGCACGTACATTTGCACATATGTATGAGGGCCAGAGACGATATCAAGCATCTTCCTCTATTCCTCTTCCACCTTATTCTTTTAATGCAAGTCCTCCCAATCTAACCCAGGGCCCACTGATAAGGCTAGTCTCACTAATCACCTTGCTCTGTAGATCTCCTATTTCTGTCTTGTGAGACTCTAGACATAGGTGAGCTGTCATACCCACCCAGAATTTATGTGGGGTCAGTCTTCCTATGCTGTTAAGCCCTGGACAGCCTTCTGCCCTACTGTACTCATCCTTGGTGGTTGGGGATGAGGAGGCTTGGAACCAATGGCTCAGACTCCAGGAGCAGGTGAGAATGCTGCAGCCAACTCATTTATTAATTCTCAGGGAGTGCCTCTTATACCCTTCACCCAATCCCATTGGTCCCAAGCAAGTAAATCCTCTAAATGGCAGTTTCCAATTGGCTGTCATGGTCTGCATCACCAATCTCTAGGCTCTCAGGCAGGCTTCAGTTTGGCTATCATGTGGAAGTTGCCTCTGTGCCTGGGCAGCCCTACTCACTGTTTACTAATGTTTACACAGAGGCAGTGACCGCCTTGTCAATGAGGCCTGCAGTTCCTCCTACACTCCTGCTTGCATGGTCATCACTAAGCCACCTCCCTTCCCCTACACCCTTTGTTTCTTCCTTTCTTTTTATTGGATATTTTATGTATTTACATTTCAAATGTTAACCCTTTTTCTGATTTCCCCTCCGGAACCCCCCACCCCCTCTGCTTCTATGAGGGTGCTAAAAATATGGACTGCTTCATGAATCTGTGTGTCATCTTTGCGTAGGGGCCATGCTAATCTTCTCTGTATCATTCCAATTTTAGAATATTTGCTGCTAAAGTGAGCACCACCCTTTGTTTCTTAAATCAGCATCAGTTACATCATCTGAACATATTTTCTTCTGGCACTTCCATTTTCAAAATTTTGTTTTTGATATCTATCCTCTTGGACGTCTATAGAACTAGATAATGAATTGTATTTTTTGTTATAATGTAGCATGATATATGTTCCATAATACAAATATCCCATAATTTAAATATGCAGCATTTAATATATTCTATCAGTGGATACTTACATGTATTTTAAAATAAGTTGTCTGTTATAGACAAAGCTGAAGTGAACATCCTTTTCAAAGACCTGCCTGGATCATAGACGTCCACAGAGCATCTATCCTCCATTAATAAAGGTCAACAGGTGTTTCTGTGATCACTGTGTGCTGTTCTAGGGCCATCTTACTTTTGCTTGCAAGACATAAGTATTATAAGTTCAGGAATTTTTGAGGTAGTTATTAAGAATTGTAACTATAAAAACTAAAACCATGTAAACTTATAATAGAACAAATTAAGCTATAATAGCTATTAACTACCCTAAGCCCATCAGTCCCTAATTATTTCACTGTGTTTTTCCACTATATGTGCTGTTGAGGTGAATGATTGCTGTGCTTTTGAGGTGGAAACACGATCCTGAATTTCTGGACTACACTCTTCCAACTTTACATAATTATAGTTTTAGTTTCAAAATAGCCATAGAGGAAGTATTTGTACCGCAGAAATCAACAGTGCTTCAGAAATCAAGGCTAATTATCATTTTGTTCATTGTATAGAATAAGTGTCAACAAACATTTACTATAAATGTCTAACTAGTAAATAATTTATGTTTTACTTGGCATGGACCTTGTCAGCACTCTTCACTCTTCTCTCTTCTCTCTTCTCTCTTCTCTCTCTCTCTCTCTCTCTCTCTCTCTCTCTCTCTCTCTCTCTCTTCCTCTCTCTTTCTCTCTCTCTCTCCCCCCCAACCCCGTGTGTGTGTGTTTAAATAGGAAAAAAAAAGCCAGTCAGTTATGGGCTATACTTTGCTAACACTAGGTCTAGACATAGAAAAGCAAAGCACATTTAACTTGAGATGGGTTTTGTGTGTAGTCTTTACACTACATAGTGCAAAGCTTGAGGAAATTGTTGGGAAGCTTGAAGAAGCATTACTCCAGTGTTTGGAAACTATCACCCAGTGCAGCAAAGAGATTTACCCTTCACAAACAAATCAGCTTGTGACATATGTGTTCATTATTTATGTCACTTTCATTTACTTGTTAATGCTAGAGAAAACATAAGCCCACATTCGTCAGAAACCACACCTGGAAATGTAGTTGTTAAACATTCATCAATACTACTGAATCAAGCTTATGAAATTTATGCAAAAGAGAGCCCTTGTTCATCTGATTAAGATCCCTTATTACACTTAAATTGCATCCTTTCTCTCTCTTAAACATGCACACATAACTCCCACTGCTGGAGCTGGCACACCTTCGTTAGTCTTGCTATGGTCTTCTCAAAGCTGTTTTTAAATTGTTATAAATATCTAGCATCATCACTGTCATTTTATGTTGTGACACACACGCCTTCATGGTGTGACCCTCTTAAAGTCAGAACCCACACTGCAGTTATTCTTTTCTTTAGTGTTTCATTTGAAAGATGGGCTTACAAAGCAGAAAGAGTGCTCGGTGGTGAAGAACACATTCTACTCTTTCGGAGGACCCGAGTTCAGTTCCCAGCACTCACTTTGGATAGCTCCCAACCACCTGTAACTCCCATTCCAGGTGCTGTGATGCCTTCTCTTGGCCTTTGTGGGAACAAGCACACATGTGCATGCACTCACACACATGTAGGCACAAACACATACGCATACTCATACACATACATAGACATATACAAACAAATAATGTTTTATGCTCCTGGGCCACTGTAGAAGAGGATGCAACAGAGGAAGAGCCAGAGGTAAGGGAAGACCAAGACAAAACAATGCCTTCTGGATATGACCAGACCACTGCACTTATGAACCCAGAGCAACTGTGGCTGCCTATACAAGACCTGTACAAGATCAACATCCTAGCATGGGATGGAGAGGGGTTCACAAGCCCCACCCTTAACAGAGGAGCTATTGACAGTAAATGGCTTCCGGGGAAGGGAGAGTAAGTTATACATCCCAGAGAGGTCGACCACACTCCAAGACAAGGCCCCACACCCATACTGTATGAGCAGGAGAAATTGAACTTGGTAGATTTTTTTTTTCCACAGAGAAGGTGGGAAGAGGTAAAAGTAGATCCAGGAGGAGATAAGGGGAGGAATTGGGATGATACGTTCAAATTACATTGTATAAAATCCTCAAAAATTAATAAAATATTTTATATTTTAAATATGTTTATATTTTTAATAATAAAAAATTTAATAATAACGATGGGTGCAAATCATAATACTTCATCAGGATTACTATCAGTAAAATCAAGATCAGATGCATCCAATGTGCAGATGACACTCTGCATATAATAAGCACTCAGTGCACGTTAGCTGTCATAACTGTCAGCAATTTGCATGGTATTAGTACCATTTCCACCATCCTTAGTGCTGTAAGATCCCCAAATATTCCCTGGCCCACAGCAGCACACTGCGGTTTCAGGTTCCTAAATATGCCATCTTTTTAACATATGGAATGTACCAATTACTAAAGAGCTAAAACAAAATTGCTTCTAACGTCTCTAGCACAAGATGTTGGGTGATGTAGTGATACAAAGATGAGTAAGACATAAACGGGACTCCCCGCTGACGATCTGGCTGAGGGGTCGCCCTAAATAGAAGATGGAAATAAAAGAGGCTGTAAGTGCCAGGGTGTTCGAGATGAGAGAAGATACTGTTTTCTATGATGACAGAGAGGGACTGACGTGGAGGTAGGTTCTTCTGCCCATCACCCTTTACAGATCATTTTCTCTCTATGAAATACCCTCAACCCCTCTCACGTATGTATCAGGAAAGGCTCTCACATCTGGAGTGAGTAATGCAAATGTTGCCATATGAACAGCTCTGAGAATCCCAGGAGACGCTGGCAGCTTCCATTTTGAGAAGTCTTTCCAAATTCCTAACAATTACAAACGCCATTCTCACATCCCATAAAGTGCTGTAGCAAGCCACGCTGGGAACATTTTACATCCTTCGTAATGTTCTTCATGTCTGACGGGGACATCTGCCTGGAGTGTACTTGATGTGCATTGTAACAAGAAGCCTCCTGAAAGTGATGCTTGCTGAACCAGGTCCATGCAAAATGACCTCACCCATGGCTCTGTGGGCCTCTTCTCTCTGCACCTCCTGTGATAGTTCTGATCTATGAGGTGCTGGACAACCCTCATCAGGAAGAGGTTGGGGAGAAAGTGTGATACCTGAAGACTGGACTTTCAATATTCATCAGCCAGCCAGAGAGGTCCACATAGTCTGTGAGTGGAGTTTTGGGGCTGGGAAGAGTTCCTATCAGATGGTATCTTTCCTTCTCTTCTGCTGGTAGGTTTCTGGGAGAGCCAGGAACTAGCTGGGTCACGACTGGCAATGCTGTCAAAGTGTATGCCCTGATGGAAGCCCACTAAGCATCTTCATTATGCCTCATCTAGAGCATGAGATGAAGATGAACATGGAGAAAATGGGTTAGGCCAATAAATTGCCTCCTAACAAACCATGGGTAGCACCTCATGGTGCCAAGCTCAAAGGCCTGTGAGAAAAACACAGAGATTAGCTTCCTGGCTTTGATCTCTACACAGCACAGAATGGCTTGTCAGCGGATGCTAGCACATGATCACCAAAATGAAGCCGCTGATTTTGCTCCTCAGAGAACCAGTTAGAGTGAGAGAAGAGAAGAAATTCTTCTGGGAAAAAAATTCTTACTGGGGGGGAGGGAGCAAGGTCTTGAGCAGAAGCAAAGTTGTCTTCATATTCTCGTACCCACACCGCAGGTAAAATTCTGACTGATCACTGGGCCCCCAGTACCCTGGTCCCCTCCTACCCTGCCTTTGTCCCTTCTGCCCCTGCTGTTCTTCTCTCCAGCTCCTCTCCTTCCTTCACATCACCCTTCCAATCAATGTATTATTATTTGATTCCTGTGCCGACTAGTTTAATGTCAACTTGACCCAAGATAGAGTCATCTGAGAGGAGGGAACCTCAACTGAGAAAATGCCTTCATAAGACCAGACGGTAGGTAAGCCTGTAGGGCATTTCTAAAATTAGTGATTTATGGAGAGGGCCCAGTCCATCATGGATGGTGCCATCCCTGGACAGGTGGTTCTGGATTCTAAAAGAAAGAAGGCTGAGCAAGCCATGGCGTGTAAGCCAGGAAGCAGCACCCACCATAGCCTCTGCATCAGTTCCTGCCTCCAGGTTCCTACCCTGTTTGAGTTCCTGTTCTGATTTTCTTCAGTGATGAAAAGTGATGCAGAAGTGTAAGCCTAATAAACCCTTTCCTCTCCCAGTTGCTTTGGTCATGGTGTTTCATCACAGCCGTAGGAACCCTGACTAAGACAATTCCTTTGATTTTCTTTTCCACAATTATTTTTGAGTGCTGAGTGTGTGTTGGTGGATGGTAAACCAGACGGCTATAGTTTGTACTTTTAAAAAGTAGACATTGCAATGAACTAATCTGCCATCTAAGTAACTACTCAAGCAAGTCAATGCTTATAAGACACAATAAAGAGCTGGAGAGGTGACTCAGTGGTTAAGAGCACTGGTTGCTCTTCCAGAGGACCCAGGATCAATTCCCAGCAACCACATGGCAGTTCACAACTGTCTGTTACTCCAGTTCCAGGGAATCTGACACACAGACATATATGCAGACAAAGCACCAATGTACATAAAATAAAAATCAATAAATGAGTACAACAACAACGCCCTGCCTCTTTTCTGCTATGCAGTGGCCTCAGTGCGGGAGAGCTCCCCTTCCCTCCCTTTTGCCCTTACCACCTACACTAAGCTAGAGAGTTGGTCCCGACAGGGTCATGAGACAGGATATCTGTCCCTGCCCCTCACCTGCTGCAGCACTA